TCAACCCACTTCTATAAGTCGAAAGGAGACTGCGACCATACCCGAGGCCACAACATCTTGGTCTTCAATTTAACTGAATGAGATTACCTCGGAAACAGTGTCAACAAAAATGTTCCAGTAAAGCCAAACGACAACTGGTCAAAAGGAATCCGCCGTTGTCTTTTGATGGGATCGACCTTTGATTCTCTTTGCCAAACACTCCGAGATTGCACTCAATAACGACCGAGAGCACCCGCGAGACTCAGGCGAAGCCGAAAATAAAGTTAACTTTAGACAAAGAAAGTCTTTTAAGAGAATATGGAGGAACAAAGTTAAAGTCTTAACTTAAATTAGTCGTGGAGAAAGTCACTATCCAGTAGATGTGGAATTAGAATACTGCGTTAACTTAGTAATTTTGTGTTAAAAATACAAGAATCGAAAAATACCTAAAAAGAAAAGAAATCTGCAGGCGACCAAAGATGGTTAGTCAAATAATAACTAAATTAACGACCTACTATAAGTAGCTAAAAGTAGCTTTTAGAATGACCATCAAAATATCAGATAGAATTTATGAAAGAAGCAGACTAAAATGGGTTGAAATCGAACAGTGGAATAGTATGATCCTAAGTAGCAAGTTAGTAAGATAAAAAAATATTCTAAGAAAATAATGCTGATAAAAAAATCAAAGGCTTGTTCACTATTCTCTGGCTTTCGATATGAAATCTTCCCAAAGTGAATTGATATGAGTGTTTAAAAAAGGATAGCAAGGAAGGTAAACAGTGGCAACAATTTCATAAGGACAGGGAGACAAAACGTAATCTCGAAACCATAATAATAAACGAAAAACGTAGTAAGCTTTTAGGCAAATAGAACATGAATTCTATTTTCAGACAGACCAGCGACCATACAGTGATTTGTGTGGACGTTCAGGAGAACCTCTGCGTTTGGCGAATTTTAATTGACTTCGATGGAGGCATTGTAGGAGTTCGAGAATTAGTAAGTGAAGGCATACGTTTCAACGAATCGTGACTCGTAGGGCTATCACCCAGCAAGCCGATGGACTGACCGGTCATTGAACCAAGTTTGGTATCAGCAACAAGAGCACCACTACGGTTACCAGTGCCTCGTGAAGGGGAATTTGTTGGCTTTCTAACGGAAAGGTTGGGACTGCTAAGACTGACCATTTGGTTCTGGTTTACTGTAGAGACGGGCCTGGAAGTAAAGGCAGCAGCGCCAACATGGCCAGTAGAGCTTGCCTGAGAAGTGATTACAGGAATGGATAATAGACCAGCGGATCTACCATCAAGAGAATGGTTAACTGATGAAGTTATTTGATCCTGAGCTTGATCTAAGAAGGGCTGTTGGAGGGATTGCCCAAGTTGAACTAGAGTTCCTGAAGATCCGTGGTTGGCCGAAGATGAAAAGACATGATCCGAGCCGAGTGAGACGGAAAGTAAGCCGGCCAGACCAATGCGAACGCGGTAGGCACCAACCAAAAGAAAAGAGCGTGACCTAAGAAGTGTGCTATGATCAGAGGGCTAAAAATATCACAAAAGCAGGATGTAAACAATTGTTAATAGAGCTTGTAAACAGGAACAAGGGAAAATAGTGATTGTAATATTAGCCATAATATTTTACTTGTGCACTTTTACTCACGTCCAAGAATATACACACCTCAATATTTAAATACTACATGAAGTAACCAAATCGCTAAACGTTATTAAAATTCATAGATTTTAACCATATACACAGCTGTTGAGTTTTATTTGCGCATATTTTTGCATCGGAATGAAATGGGATTACCTAACGGAATGACATCAACCAGTTTTCCAAGAAATCAAAATGACAACTGGTTAAGAGGAATGCGCCGTCACCTGGTAGAATCGACCTGTTGATATTTTCATCACAAACTATTACTGGAAGTGGAAGCGAGAGCAACAACTGTAAACTAAGATATGGCTAGAAATTCAACTATTCTTAGCATAAGCCTTGAATGCTATAAGTAAACAAGGACAAAATATTGTGCTATGATCTTGAACTAGGTCATATGGTATAATATAACTGGTTTGAAAAGCATAAGATAATAAGGACTTATAATAAGGATCTATTATCTTCTTTCTAAAAAGCTATTATTTATCAATGACCTTGATACGTTTTATTATATGGTGCCTATCACTGAAGATGCTGACTACTTTAACGAAAAATCCGGGGATGTACCAAGTCACGGTCTAGTGCTGGAAATTATCATAAAACTATTGTAAAGGACACAGTGCTAGGAACGTTCCACAAGATCACGGTGTCACTCCGATCGAGGCACAAAACAAGGTCAAACCAACACTATACAGCTAAAGGAGACTATGAGTCCATCTTGGTCCTCATATATACGATTTAGGGATTGATAGTTGACTTTATCTGCAATGAGATAAATAGGCCTCACGAAGGCTGGTAACACTCGTAGACATTGTAGCAAAATAAAAGGATAAGTGAAAATAGGTAAATCGGTCATAGTAAGTAGAGTTGAGATATAGGGACACATGGCTATGAGCTATGGAAAGGGGAGATGCTACGATTTGACAAAAAAATCGTCAAGGAGATCGGCCTCTTTGAGCTAAGGATGGCAGCATTCATTGACGATGCCGGCGAGACGCCTGGAAGTATACCAAGTCAATAGTCCGATGCTATGAGAGGGAATGCAGAACTGCCTAATTTACACAGGGAATCCATTTTTCGGGATATAGTGTAATCAACAGCATACAGCTTAAAAAGACAGCGATCAAGCATACGGCCACATCTTATTGGTCTTTGCACCTATTGCCATCGTAGATGTCAAGATAAAGATGATATGACTTCCGATTTGGTAGCAGTCTCCTTTCGATATATAGAAATGGTCTGACCTCATTTTCGCAACGAGGTCGTTTTGCCAAGGTGACTTAATTGAGCGTACCTTGTCTGAAGTATTTTGCTATAATTGTTATGATAATTCCCAACGTCAGGAAATGGACTTGGTACGTTCCCAAACGTTTCACTGGCCTTGTCAGCGGGTCTTGCCATTCTTAGCTCCTAGCTACAATTCGTCAGAGACAAATGAAGTAAATCTCTTGACCAACTTTCTGCCGG